ATTGCTTTACAGTTGCATTACTGCTTCAAAGGTTCTCGGTTAAAGTTTTCATTGCATTAAAGGATCTAGGCAGTCTATTCATGGCCCAAGCTTCATTTTTATGAGGCATGCACCTATACTTGTTAACAACAGACTTGGCAGTAGGTAGTACTCTTACATACCAGAGTGCTCTAGCAGCAGGGATGGCTGCTTTTGATATTTTATTGCTGATGTACTAGGCACATGGGAGTGGTCGCCTTCTCTCAACTTTCCTGCTTGGTTTGCTCCAGTGTTGCGGAATGGGTGTCTCTATTCCATTTCAATTCCACTCCTTTTAATTCTTCGGAATGAAAAAAATTGGCCAATTCCCACTCCAGGAATGGCAGGACCGTTCAATTCGATTCCTTCAATTCCTCAATGTAGAAAATGAATCTTCATAGTTTTAATGAGTTAAAATGAATGAGACCATAAATATAGTGCCATGAGATGCATTAATAACTGCAAACGTACGTTAAACACGTTACCAAGGTCCAGGGTTAGTAGTTTGTTGGCATATCTTGTGCAGTAAAACCACCCTACTAATTCTTGTAGGAGCAGTTCTCCCGCTGCAAATAGTATTTGCACAGTCAGCATGTTTGAACAAATGGTGATATTTTATTTGCTTAAGCTTAAATTTGTTAATGCCAAACTGATGACATAGCATATTGACAAAAGTAGTGTTCAAGAAGACCAAGAAGTTTTGCCCCACGTCTCGAGTGGTTGATAGAATGAAAAAAAAATTGGTTAGTAAGGAACAGAATGCTCTAGATCTGCTGGTATTAGAAGAACAGTGCACCACCGTTCGGGCACCTTGTGCATTTGCATACAAAACGGAACACAAGGCTGCACTGCTAGTTAGGACCCATGCTTGTCAAGCGCACCTCGCAAGCATGGATGGGTGAAGAGAACCTTGTGTTTGCTTGTGTGCAGGTATGCAATTTACTTCTTGTCCCAAAGGTTATTTACATTTGTGAGGTACTGAGCTGCTTGTGAGATAAATGTCAGGGCGTGCATAGAATATTCGCCCCTTTCGTGTGGGGTATCAATGACAACAGACGTGCGAGGATAATTTGTATCTTCCTTCAGTATATGTTGTTATAACGCAATTGCTTGTACGCCAAGTTATGCCCCGGTTTATTTTTTTTAAACTGGAAGATTGATCACACTTTTACATCACGCCTACACTTGGCTTTGGCTAACTAAAGATGAACCTAAAGAAAGCCTTGTGGCCTTTGACTTCCGATAGTGCATGTGCGCATGTAGTCAGGCCTACATGAATAATTTGAGCATGATATTACAGTAGTAGCAATGAAGGTGTAGAAAAATACTCCCCAATGTCTTCTTTGCTTGACAATACGAACACAAATCCTAGGAACCAAGCAAAGTTATGAAAAAAGAAGATAATGATAATAATGGATTGATCCCACCCCGGAGCACTGGGACTGCGGGATGACCAGATCTCGGCTCGTGATTCAGGAATGTCTGATCTCCTGGGTTTGATTTAGCTAATGCCCGATTTTCCTAACACTTTCGGCAATCGGTCACTAGTTCCTTGGGCACTAGCTTTGTGCCATAAAAAGGTGCTTAAGCCTTCTTTTTGTATTTATATGTTTCTATTTTTGTATTTGTAACAATCAAGTGGAAAGGGATCACCGTCGCCAAATAATGGCGACAAAAAACTCCATTTATTTTCTATTTCAATAAAAAAAAGAAAAGCCCCCTCAACATTTTAAATGCTTCAATAATTGTCGCAAGCACTGCAAGCTGCTAAAAAGCTTTATTTTGGTATCATTCATCACAATTTTGCAACAAAATGTTAAGAATTAAATGATCCATTTGCCGTTTGCATTTAAAACTAAATTTTGACCGGATGGGACGTTGAACAGTTGGTTTTTAAAAAAGAGGTGAGATAAGACAATTGCAGTCTACCTAACTATGTGTTGTGCTTAACAAGCGTGAGGCGCTCAAGCATGAACCGCTGGACGCAGAAGCCTGTGTGATGGTGCATTATGGTAGTGCTTCTCGAGCCAACACGCGCGGCGGCGGCAGTACCGCCACCCGGGCCTCTCCCCCACCCCCCGCTAAAAGGAGCGAACGTGGGTTTAGTTCGGCGCATGGGTTTTCTCCAGGAATCGGGGAGGCGCCGCCATGGCCGTGGTTACCTGCTCTCCTGCTTCAGGCGGCTTCCGGAACCAATGCTCTAAAAAGCTAATTCTCTCTGTCTGTCTGTGCAGAGGGGGAGTGCACACAGTTCATCGTGCACGACTGTGTGCTGCGCTGACCTAGAGACTTTCGCTGACAGAGTTCTTGGCGAAGGCGCTGATGTGTTTACACATGAGCGCCTTCGCTATGGCGAGGGGTGGGGGGTACGAGGTCAGATTGCAGTGAACAAAAGCATCGCACCAGCCTTAATACACATCTCAATGTAGAGAAGTGTTTTCTTGCACATGCGTCCGAGTCGGCCGACAGTGACAGAAGCTATCACAAGTACGTGAAGGGTGTGAAGACAGCACACGGCTGGGCACTGTAGCTGGAGTGCCGCCGAAGGCAAAAACAAACAGTCACAAGACGTGAAGGAAGGAAGGGGTGAATGATGCCATCGTAGTTCTGCTCCACCACGCTTACGCAAAAAATGGACGAACTTCAGAGGAGCACAGTCAATATGAGGACAAATAAATTAAGTATAAATGTGTTGTGCTTGTAAAAAGCCAAGCCGTTTAAAAAATGCTTCCTTGGTGTTAAAATCGAAGCTTTGATTCACTAAAATTTGAAGTTTTAAAAGCAAAAAGTAGACGAAAACGTGCCATAATTTCGGTAAACATTTTGGGCAAAAGGTGCTTAATTCCATTCCAGTTCAATTCCTCCAAGCATTACCCCAATCCATTTCGGCTCCCGAAAATGTGGAATGATTCTGGAATCATTCCAATTCCGGAGTGGCAACTCCACAACACTGGTTTGCTCCCCAAGTCACTGCATTCCTTCGTATCATACTGGTAGCTTGTCATAGCTTCAGAGAGCAGTCCACCTGGCCTACATCGCCAGGACATGGGGCCTCCGTTGTGCAGACCACCATTCAGGGTTGCCAACCATAGGGTAATTTCTCTACTTGTAGGGTACTTTTAAAATTTTTCGGCTGGCGTGAGGTAGTGACATAGGGTAATTTCAACATTTCTTGTCATTAATCAATCAAGAATGTAGAAGACCTGCCCGACATATCCAAAGGTTACACTCCTGGAGAGATTCGAACTGAAATCGTCTTAATTAAAATGCCACCAGCACAAGGGAAAGATGAAAGATAATACGTCACACGTCCTCGTGGTAAGTTTTTTTTCCTTTCTCTGTTGTCTCCCTTTGTTCGTTGTATGGAGGCACTAATAAATTTTGTGACGGTGCTTGGTTTTAGTTATTAAGGCTACAACTCTTCAGATGCCTTAGATGCCTCATCACACACGAAAAGTGATGGTGGGCGTCAAGGCAAGTGTTGCCAAATGCCATTATGATGTAAAACACTGCCTCGTGATGTGATCATTGCATGATATATTGCCAAAATTTTTGATGACATCATGAAGTCATTGATCCCTTTTTCTTCCTATCTGCTGTCTTTCATGCCCCTTCATCTCTCATTGAAATTAAATTTTCTAACCACTGAAATTGCCACCATCTCTAGCATCCCCATATATATGGACGTCGTCGAGTGTATGTTACTTGAACGTTACCATTGTCACATGGTACTATTTTTAAGTGTAGGGTAAAATGTTGGATAATAAATAAAATTACGTAGGCTAAAGTTAGGCAATCTTGACCTTGGTGTAGGGTATTTTCCAAAAGCTGGTTGGCAACACTGCTACCATCGAGCTGTCACCGTGGGCTTTTTGCACGAGCAGTTCGAATAATTAGCAGCAAACACAATGCTACTGCAGCTTTTGGACTGTCGCTATTTTACAATTCTAGACATCAAAAGACTGAACTACTCCTCATTTTAAAACTTCCCGAGTTTTAAAGGAATGATTTGAGTACGGACGTCGCTTCGTTGAATGGAGTTTAACTTGCACTGTGGTAGTCAATAGTCCCCATGAGAGACTTTCTATTTATGACACCCAATGTGAACTGTGGGAAAAGGGGTAAAGCATTCACGAAGAACACAATAAGAACCTCGACCATCTATGTCTGATAACACATACATTGCTCATTTGCCCTTTGTGTCTTACGACAACCTTCATGTTCTGACGGCATTGGCCAAAGCACTGCTGTAATGTTTGCATAAATTTGTAAATTTACTATGACAAAAAATGTGGACACAAGTCAATTGGGAGAAGTACACTTTAGGCACAGAGCAGCACAGATTTCATTGTAACAAGCTTGTAAGTGTTCAGGATTGCAATAGATGTGTAGTCGAGAGCTGTACTTTTGCACGTGTTACAACTGTTTAATGTTGAGAATAATTTTTTACCCGAGTGTACCTACATAGACTACACCTGCAACTGAAATAAATCGTTCTGCCATCGATGACTAACTTTCCCCCTTCAACTGAAATAAATCGTGCTGCCATCGATCTTCAGTTTATTTTGACTCGACAGCTGGAGTCTCCACGATGCGGATACTGAGAGTTCTTACGAACGAAGGTGGATTTGCAAGATAGGGCCAGAAACGTTAAGCCAATTCAAAGGGCAGTTTACCTTAAGTAAGGGTTTACGTTCTGTAAAAACCCACGCATGCACAGATTCGATATGGTATATCGTAACATAAAGAAGTATACGTACAAGCTAAAAGCCCCTAATAGCACTGGCTTTTGATGCCAAGTCATTTGACGGCTGCCAACAGCTGGACCTAAACGCATTTCAAGCTTAACATGCAACTTCTAAGGAAAGCAACTTGAAGGTGTGGTTAATCGTTATCAGGCTGACAAAGCTTGACTTTGCTTTCAGACAGTCACGGGTCAATATATGTACATCATGAATCAATGTTGGTGCCCAAGAGAGTGGTGTAGGCAACGCAAGAATCATTCTTTATTCTTTGAAATAGCTCTTATAAATAAGCTATCGCTGTACAAGAGGATACAGCACTTGCCGATGTAATCAAAGAGCAAGGCCTTCTTTACATTAAAATCTGCTTCGGTCACAAGACCACACAAAGTACACTGGCAGCTGGCTTAACACCACCGAAATGACTAACAGCCCTTCTTTCTTCTGCTGTGAAAACTGGCCTCACACACACGAAATGACGCTGCCCTTCAGAGAATTTACATGGGAAAGAAAAAGGAAGGTCGAGGCCACAATTTGCACGCATCCGCAACAAAAGGCCTTCCGTCGGATCTTGGTGAAATCCATCTTGTTGCAAGAAATGTTACGGCACACACTGTCCACTTGCGAGCAGTTTGTAAAGGCTGCAAAAACACTAGCACACATGAATGAGGGCTGTTCCAGGTGTGTTGTGCGCATGAAGAGCGATGCTTGTTCCTTTTCAAAAGAAAACGAGTTCGCAGTGAGCACTGTACAATATGAGGTCTTGCATTTGTGAACTAAAAGGCTAACGAGCAGTCTGTTTGGCCTGCAGATGAAGCCATAATAAAAGGAGTAAAACTAATTTGCCTTTTAAAATTTCCTATGATCTGCTCACAGTCACTGTTCTGGCATGAAAGAGAGAGAAGGTTCACAAGCACAGGTCTGACACTGCAGCCACAGAGACCAAAGCACTGCGTTTGTACTGCGCCTATGACAGCACACAGAAGACACCCAGTTGGGATGATTTTCTTTCTCTACAAGCTCACATCCACCGAGCAAGAGGCAAAAAAAAAAATATCTATAAAGGAGCATTTGCACGCTGCTTGGCAACGATGCAGTCTGCAACAGCATGGTGACTCTCAGTGCACAGAAAACGAGGCAAATATGCACACACACACACAGACACACAGTTCATCTTTGAGTAGCGTGTAGCACCGTATCAGTTTCTTCAGCACGATCCAGCAGGATGCACCACATTTTGAAAGCCAATGATGCATCGGAACCGAGCAGGAGAAAAAAAAAAAAGGTGGCCAGGGAAGCAGTAGTCATGCACATCAGTGTGGTATCTTGCATGCTCCTCAACTTCAACGGCAATTCACGTCCCAGGGATGAGTCGTCAAATCCGTTTATCTGTCGTGCTTCGTGTAGGAAGCTGCTGAGATGGAGGGCACAGTGGCTGCCAAATCGGCAGTCTGCAACAGATGTGGGGGAGGCATGCGCTTCAGACTAGATCCGCACTGTCTTCTCCATGGACAAAGGGCCTTTTCTCTTGCCATCTAGTGAAAGTAAAGGAAGAAGGAGTGTTGACCATGGATTACTGCTCGTGTGAAATACCACTGCTGTAGCACACACAACACATCACCGCCTTAGAACTTCACGTGCTGACGCTACAAACTTTACAACAGTTAAAGAGAAATGCGAGTCACCTATTGACACCCGCTTTGCCCTGAAGATCTTTCACTACTATATTTTGCAAGTGAAGACCATGCCATTAATTTAATATTTTCATTTCGTGTACCTCTATAATATTATCATGGCTGACAGAAACCAACATTCCAATTGAAACTAATTAATTTTCCCAATATAAATGCTAAGCACGTACAGTGGAACTTTGATTATACGACCCGCATTTTACGACGAATCGGTTTTGATCCTAGCAAAATTCCTATAGAAATAATGTATTAAATACCTTGGTAATACGCGAGTTTTACACCGACCCCGCATCCTTACGACGACTTTCAGTTTTCATCCAAAAGGGAAAAAAACCACCTTTACTCGAATCAAACGTCTAAATATCGGACTACAAAACATGAACTTGCATTTCCCTAGGTTTACAATTAGAAAAAAGGAGAGTTACAGGATGTTTTAAATTGGAAAAGTAATTCCCCTGGAAGTTCATGCACTTCTACATATGCCTCAAATATGGGCGTACATTACAGGGGTTGTTACCTAGTCAAGCTCTATCCACACAGAGTAGCTGGCTGAAAAGCTGACATTGTCACGTTTTCAGTCTGCGGAAACTTTTCCTGGTCAACATACAGCCGATTTCCTGCCTTTGTCGCACATTCAGTCACAGGCTTGTCCACGCACAAGGGCACGACACAGCTGTTTTTACCGTGCAATACTACTTTCACTTGACTTCAACGTTCATAATAACAGCGGGACGTCACTCATTTCACTTCGCAAGCCAACAAAATACAACGCGCATAGCTAAGCCACACGGGAAGGCATTCTACGCAAGCTTGTGGTCTGTCCTCATTCCGTGATAGCGATGACACTGTGACTCTCCTAACGAGAGGCTGCTGGCAAAGCAGTTTCAGTTTCCTTTTCATGCATAGGCAATTTTCTAACTATGTTCATCAGTAGAAAGATGTGCATTGGATTGGATTTTTTTTTTTCCAAAGTTGAGAATAAAGATTCACTCGCACCTCCTCAAACTAAGTAAGAATGCCATTAGCTGCCACTGGCAAGAATAATTTATTCTACCTTCATTGAAAGGTGTGAAGTCATGCCGTGGGCTTGTTTAGGCTGTCTGTGCCAGTTTTTTTAGGCAACGCTCAGTGTCACAGCCTATAATCTTAGTTTTTCAATTATATGATGCCCCAATTACACAACAGCTTTGCATCGTCCCCTGAAAGTCACATAATCGGGGTTCCACTGTAACTTTGGAAATTTTAGGTGGTTGGATTGCTTTTTCGAACTACTGCGTACAATGCTGCTCCATGAATTATTGGCTGCTACGGAAGCTAGGACAGAGTTCAGGACATCTTCACGTGTTTCATGCCTGTTCTAAACATATCTCAGCACACTGAAACCTTGATATAATGAACTCGGATATAACGAAATGTCAGTTATAACAAAGCACACAAAGAATAGTCTTGCAATAGTTTGGAATATACAATAGTGTTAGGAATATACCTATGTAATAAATTTTCGGATATAACCAACTTATTTTCATGTAAGATGCAAATTTGTTATATGAAAACTTGAGCGTAGTTGTTGCTTTACTTTAGAACACTGCACGGGCCGATTTTTCCAACCCAAGCTTGATTGATGATTTGATGTTTGGCGTTTTGTGGTGCAAGGGCCATTCAATGGCCAAAGAGCGTCAGGTCATGAGACTAGAGATTTCAACAATGATTATGATAAGTGGCTGTATAAGGGCCTTAAAATTCCTCGTGCTCTGGCGGTTAAAAAATACAGAAGTGTTAAGGTCATGACAATGATGTGAAATGTGTGTAGTGTGAATGAATGGCAAAAGTTCGTGATAATAAAACCATGGTAGACATGTATGGCATTAGCACAAGTGCCTCGATCATTCACATCCTTGTGTCCAAGAGCCGCGAGGCAAGTGCTTTCTTCAATGTAGTTATCGCAGCAGCGACCTCTTTTCAGAGAGGTCATGCTGCGGGGATGACTGAAAATATGCCATGAAAACTATTTACATCTTTTAAAAACGTGAGAAATGATTGATAGCTCAAAAGCAGTTTTCTACCTATAAACATCGTTGGGTGCAAGGGAATTTGATGGTGAAAGGGAAACAGAAAGTGTTTTCTTCTAATTACATCCCATTCTTTGCACTGTATTAAAACATGAAGCACGGTGAGAGGTTCACCACACTTTTCACAGAGAAGGGTATCGCCACCAGACAAAAGGTGTGTGTGTACTGTGTGTATGTCCTATTTGATCTGGTAAGTGTTCATTCTCTGTAGCGCGACTTCGATATTGGCGGCCAATTCGCGATAAGTGGCTTGATCAGGTGAAGTTGATTTTTTCTTTGCTTATCCCCCAAATGCTGCCAATAATCCTGGATGTTTCGTTTAATGAAGGGTTTGAGGTCAAGTGCAGGTACAGATATAGATGTATTAATGGTGGCATTCTCGTGGGCGGAAACAGCGAGCTGATCCGTTAACATGTTTCTTTGAATCTCGCAATGTCCTGGCACCCAGCAGACTATGACATACTGTTGCTGTGCATAGATCGTGCATAGAAGTCAGTAGAAAGAGACAAGGATAGGATTCGTGTCTTTTTCAAGGAATTTCGGAGCTGTCACCACGCTTAGAAAATCAGTATATATCACAGATTTTGAGAGTTTCCATTCTTCTATATATATGATGGGCGATAATATTGCGCATGCCTCTGCAGTGATGATGCTCATATTGGGGTGCAGAAGACCTACACCTGAAAAGGATGGACCAACCGCGGCGTAGGACACAGAAGTGAGAGTCCTTGAGGCTTCGGCGACAAATTCCGGACATGGATATTTATGTTGGAGTTCAAGGAAGTGCGTATAAATATGTGCAAGACATGCATTTAGTAACTTTAATAAAGGACATATAATCTATGAGCTGCCACTGCCATTGTGGGACATATACAGCGGGAGCAGCCAAACGGTGTTCACAAAGCGGCACACCCATTTCTTCGGCTAGACTCCTCACACGAAGTGCGTAGGGCAGTCTCATGGCAGGGCGGTTTCGAAATAGAACAGAACTGGACAAGTTATTTATGGTGGAGTGTATGGGGTGTTAGTTGCTTGCGTTTATTTTAAGAATAGAAAGGATAGGTAGGATCTCTAGAGAAGTAGTGACCACTCATCGATTCAACGTGCAGACTTTCTACAGGGCTAGTTCAGAAAGCATCCGTAGAAAGACCAATTCCACGACGGTGAACAAGGTCGAGCATTTTTAGGGCAGTTGGTGTTGCGGACTGGTATATTATTGCACCGTAATCTAGGCACGTATCGGGTTTTTGTATAGATTCACGAGACACTTTTTGTCACTACCCCATGAAGTGCGTGACAATAGCTTTAGAATATTCAAGGTTTTCAAGCATTTGTTTTTTTAGGTACTTAATATGTTGTATGAATCTTAGTTTGCTGTCTAATATCAGGCCTAGGAATTCATGCTTACATTTAACAGACAAACATTGAACATGCAGGTGAACGTTCAGATCAGGATAAGGGGCTCTCTCTCTGGAGAATGAGACACAAGTGCTTTTTTGTGGATCAAGTTAAAACCAGTTTTCATCTGCCCATTTCGAAAGCTTATTCAAGCTCATTTCAACCTACCGTTCACACATTGAAAGGCTGGATGATTCAAAGGGCCACTGACCAGGCCCCACACCAAATTTCAGCGAGACTGTGAAAGTTGTTGGGTGTCCGATGAGAAACATTTTGCCACCAAATTTTTCTTAGTGGGTTCATTACGAGCTGAGAAAACAGTTTTTTTTTTTGAAGCGGCATGAAACGAGGATGAGAGGAGGCGAGCTTGAAACCCTTGCCGCTCCTCAGCGTAGCCTTCGCAAGCCAAATCGCTTCCCTACCCTCTCCGGCATCCAACGAAGAGGTCACGTGCACATGACGTGCCCGAACAAGCCCAACTCTGTGCAAGCGAGCGGCATTTTTTTTGTTGTTGTTGTTGTTGACCAGCATTGTTTTCAGGTCTACTGCCTATTTCTGCGGGATGGTTTGAAAATACTGGCTTAGACGCGGTACAATAGATGAGCACGATGAGTGCGCGAACGCGTAGGAGCGTTCCACGGTTGTCGTCTGGCCGATGCACTGACTGCGGGGACACGAACACAATCAAAACGCCGGCACATTAACCCCGCATCTCTTTCTAATTCACGTTGAGTTAAGTAATTTTCGCCATGTCATGTGCCACTGTCTGCAACGTCAGAGCAGAATCATCTACGTAGATGACCAACGTCACTGCATTGCCATGTACGTAGGGCCCTCATTCTCTGGGTGCGTGACCGCAAAAGAAAGGAGGAGCAGTGTTCATCTTCAAATTTTATCCATTTCCGCGGCGCATAGTGTTGCAAGTTTTGGCAGACAATATCGTGAATGCCTCATCTATGCATTGTGCTTGTAAGCTCAAAATTGTCCAACCTGACGAGTGGCCCTTTAAGGCAAATTTGTACGTCATCAACATATGTGCAATGAAACACATTTCGTGGGACGGACATTCGCAAGGAATTCATTTTGATTATAAAAAGTGTACAACTCAAGACACCTCCTTGTGGTACTCCTGTTTTTTGGAAAAATGTTTGTGACAGAGCAGTGGGAGAGCCCACTCTAACATGGAATGTCCAATCAGGCAGCTAACTTTCAATCATACAGAAGATTCTGCCGTGCACACCTAAATCTGAGAGGTCTCCAAGTATTCCAAAGCACCACGTAGTGTCGTAGGCTTTTTGCATGTCGAGGAACACAGAACGAAAAGCGTCACGAATTTGTGCCTTGACACGCATAAGGTGGTCCGTGGCGAATTTTCCT